GATTTTATCTCCTCATATCATTGACTGCAGAGACAGTCACAATATATTTAATAACTTCCTGTATGCATGCATTGGGAAGTCATTCTATTCTGTTAAAGTAAGGGATTGATTTTATTGCATTCTGTGCTTAACAGCCTAAGTGAAAAATTCCCATGTCTAATTTTAAGGCTTAAACATTGCAAGGGTTTTGTCTGTGTCATATTATACTTGTAATTATGGTGGCATTTGGATGTATCAGTGTGTGTAGCCATGTTTATTAGGGAAGGAAGAGTGGGGTTAGAGAATAGACAAGAGTGGATTCTTTATCCCTATTTAGATTACTAAGAGGCTTATATGGCCCATGGATTAGAAATAGTGCAGATAATTTCCAGAAAGGACAGAGAATGTTCTTAAAAATGATACCACATACTAGCAAGCACTTAGCAATTAGAATGTGTAGAAATAAAGGAAAAATGAGATCTGATATAAAAAACTATTAATAACAAGTCAGCTATGAGAAGCCCAAGGGAGACAAAAGTCTATGTTATTAATTACTGTCCTACTTAGCAAATAGTGTGAAGCGTGTACAGCATACATGCTCAGGACATATTCTGTGAGTGAGCAAAATAGCCATCCAAAATGACCAAAAGTGAACTAGGAGAATAGACCATCAGGTCAATAATAGAAAGGATCTGGTAATTTTCTACTGTTTGACAAAAAAAATGAATGGTCTGAATACAAGGAAACAGATTCTAAAGTGAAGTTCAAGTCCAAAAAACATAAAAATGAAGTGCATATTCTGATCAGTTATGGGGTATTTGCACTCCTGATCCAATAGCTTTTTACCCAAGGCCTGTGAGCCTATCTCTATCTGCATTTTGGCTACCCTGGCACATAATGTGCATGCTTATAATCTTAATTTCGGAACAAAGAAACTTGAGACTGCATAAACGATATGTTAGCAACTGCTACCAAGAAAGATGAAAAAGTACCTCATTATCTCAAGGATCAGTGCCATGACCTGCTCAAGGACATCACCTTTAGGGGTTCATAACCAAGCTGACTCATTTGACTGCAGTAAGAGTCTAGGGTGTGTAGACATGTTGTTTCTATGAGCCATGTGAAGGACTTTTATGTTCTATTGTGCACTGATCTTTGTCACAATAAGTTATTACAATTTGGTAAGGACTGATATGTTCCTCTGAGTCAAAAATATAAAAGATCCATTCTTTGGTGAACATTGAACATTCAAGTCATATTGGTATCTAATTAATTGCTTTCACATATTAAATGAACGTCAATTAGGCAAAATAGTAGATTTTTTAATATCAGAGAGAGCTAGATTTGGAGTGCTGCTATTTTGTAGAGAAAGAGATATTTCAGAGAAGCACCCAGCTTCTCTGTGCTGGAGGTAGCCTATAAGCAAAAGGGGAAGATTGACCATGAGCCTTTTGAGGTGAATCAGCACAGAGAGAAAACATGCTGCAGTTTGTCCGGAAGTGATTGATTGCTTCCCCTCAAAGGGAAAGGTCAAGAACAAAAAGGAAAATACCCTAAACATGCAGAAGTCTCTGTCCTACCAAGTGGCCTATGTATAATGAATCCTAAAATCGAAAGCTGTAAAATTTTAAATTCAGCCTTTAAGAAAAAGTTGAATAACCTTTGTTGATTGAAAAAGAAGATACATATTTGGTTATTCTTTTTGTTTATCATTTGGATATAATTAACTGTGTGCTTATATATGATCATGCTATGCTAGAAAGCGAACATATCTCTTCAGGAAAGGAATAAAATAGCAATCCCACTCGACCTCTCTTACCTTGATTCATAGCTCTAATATTTCTATTCTTGGAACATCACGGCAGCTTTGGTGCTAAGAAAATTGCTGGTAGGGGAAGAATGAGTTTTCAGCCTTTCATCCTTCACAACCTTCACACCAATTCCTAAATCTAATTTTGCAATTGCGCCATCTAGTGTTCAAATATTTTCAATACTGCAGCTCACAAAATGCTTCACCAGAAAGCTAGCTGATGAACAATGTGTTTGGGAACACCTCCTTTAAGGAATAGATCTTCAATGAAATTCTAAAACAGATTTCTCATCAAATATAAGTTTCTACCATATCACCACTGTCCCTTCGATTACCCATAAATACTTGATAGCTTTTATTGAGGTACTCAGACATATTCTATATATATATATGTAAATATACAGATTTTGTTGTCATATTTTGTTTTCATTTGTGTACATTTTGCTTTCATATTGTTCTCTGGACCATTGACAATATTGTCATTGCCTCAGAAGGCAAAACTGACTCAGACTAATTATGATGGTAGTTTGGTTTCAAATGGAATCAAGGAGTAGAAATTGTTCATAAGAAAATTTGTGTACACTGCATATCACCTCCTCCCCCAAGTTGTGGTTTTGTTACCATTGATGACTTCATTTTCAGTGGTAGAGCTTTACTACCTGAGAGGAACATAGAGTGTGTAGATATTGGTGAGATGCTGCTTTGAATATAGAGTGTGTAGATATTGGTGAGATGCTGCTTTGCCAGTAATAACAACAGATTTAGTTGTCTTATTGAAAATCAAATTAATACAGCAGTGATATTCACTAGACACTACGTTTGAAATAAACTACACTGCATGGGGTGAGGTGGTTGGGAAGGGATAAAAGTGAGAGAAAATGAGGGAGAGGGTGAAATGTTCAAAAGGAAATGTCCTCATTCCCTGATGTAACTGTAGCCCCCCTGTATATCACCTTTACAATAACAACAAACAAACAAACAGATGCTGTGGCTCACATCTGTAATCCTGGCTGCTCCAAAGCTGATATCCAAGAATCAAAGTTTGCAGCTAGCCTGCTTAGAAAACTCCATAAGACTCTTATCTCCTTATCTCCAATTAACCACCCAAAAGCCAGATGTGAAGCTATAGCTCAAGTGGTAGAGAGCCAACCTTAAGTGAAAAAGCCCAGTGAGAATGAGAGACCCTGAGGTCAAGCCTGAGTACTGGAAAACACAATAAAATTGGAGCTCATTTGGGGGAACTAATGAGCATGGTTTCAATTTTCAATATATTCTAAACATGTTATGTTCTTCATCTTTAAAATGACATCTCTCATACTTCCCATCAGTTTAGAATTTCAAAAAGAAAAATATAATTAGTTATGAAAAAGTAAGAATCCAACAAGCCCCATGAGATCAAAGTCATCATCTTAATATCATTTTTAAAAGTAAGTTAAGGGCTGGGAATGTGGCTTAATGGTAGAGTGCTTGCCTAGCATGCATGAAGCCCTGGACTCGATTCCTCGGGACCACATAACCAACCAAACAAACAAACAATAAAACAGAAATGGCACTGTGGCTCAAGTGTTAGAGCACTAGCCTGGAGCAAAAGAAGCTCAGGGACAGTGCCCAGGCCCTGAGTTCAAGCCCCAGGACTGGCAGAAAAGGGGGGAGTAATTTAAAATATGCCTGTCCTGAGGCCCCTGCAATAGTGAAGATCTGTGGTCTACAAAGAAGCTTCCTGCTGCTCCAACCTCCCCCAGACCCATTCTGGTCCCTGAGCATCCCAGCCTTTTCCCATTTCTCAAACGATTGCCTCCCTCTTTAGGTTCCATTTCTCTCTTCTGCTTTAAACAAGAATCATCTCCCTGTCCTGCTCTCAGTTCATCTAGTCTCACTCTCCAGATCTGGGCCCAAACTTCTATAACCACCTTCTATAACTCCATACCTATATTGTTATTAGTTTGTTGGTTATTGATTTAATGTTTATTTATTATGTTATTGGTTATTGTACTAGTGCTTCCGCTGGGTTGCAAGGAAGAACCAATATAAACTAGGTGTGTAGTTAATAACTGACAAAATCAACTTGGAGTCCAAAATGTAGAACTGAAAGGCATATGATGCTATATCATATAATTCTGTGAAGACTACCCCCACCATTGGGATAAGAAAATCTTCCTTGGCAGGGCATCTCCGTGCCTGCATTCCAACTTCTCAGGGCAACGTTCTGGGGAAAGTTCTGCTCCTGCAGTCCAGCCCAGGAGTGAGCTGCAAGTTCTCATTGCTCACCAGCTCCCTACATGTGTGCATTCCACTGCTCCTGGCTCCTAGGAATTAATTTCAAACTACATACAGAAACCCTCCAGCCCCTGCTCCAAAACAAAAAAAAAATCACTGTTTTGTCTTTACTGCTACCTATCTTTGTGGTAGCAGGGTACAGGCTATATAAAGAACAAAAGATAAATTTATGTTTTGGTAAATTACCCTGTCACTCTGGTATTCAGTAGAGAGTAAAAATAAATTATGCACATATGTAAAGGTCATGTTAAATCTTCGTTGTATATTTTCGTAGCATTACCCTTCACTTTCTAGCAGACTCTTAAAATTTTTCCACTATTTTTGAATATTAACCAAGCAATCATGCTGAGAGTCAATTATTTTCAAAATAAGCTATGCTTAAAGTTATAATGTGTCATGCTATGCTTCAAGTATCTATAACCAGTCTCCAAAGTATACTTGAAAATGAGTTTAATGTTTTGAGATGAAGTGAGGTTCCAGAAGTAGTTAATTCTGAAATTGAATATACACAGAGACACAGATTCTATTTTTTTTTGTATATGGTATTTTTTTTGTCGGTCGTGGGGCTTGAACTCAGCCTGGGCGCTATCCCAGTGCTCATCAGCTCAAGGCGAGCACTCTACCTCTTGAGCCTCAGCGGCACTTCCTGTATATGGTATTTTTAAGATCTGATATATTATTGATGTTTCCCACTCTTTCTTACAGTCAACTATACACCTGAGAAGAGTGTTTGACCATTCACGTAATTAATCCCACCTGCAGTGACATTTAGTAAGCATTATAGAAATGTGTGATCCCTGAAGATTCAATTGATTGACTCAGTTACCTTGATATGAATAGAGATTCTAACTCTTAGACATATCCTAGATGAAAAATAAGAATGAAACAGTATAAAGTTGACTCCAAAGAATATCTTCACTTTCTGTCGCTGCAGCAACACTGACGTACACACTGTGGCGTCTCTTCTTAAACTCTATCTCCGAGAACTACCAGAGCCAGTTATTCCTTATGCCAAGTATGAAGACTTTCTGTCATGTGCCAAACTGCTCAGCAAAGAAGAAGAATTGGTAAGTGAATACATTTATTTCCAAACAAGTTCTTGTTTGGGGGTATTTGTCAGTGTTTTCAGTCTTACTTTGCAAATTTTCTTAGCCCTATTTTTGGACAGTTTCCCACTATTCTCTGCCTTAATATCACATACATTAGGACCTCCTGTGCATGAGATTTATCTTCTTGGGCTGGGAAGGTTCTGTTGTGATAAAGTGCTTGCCTGGCATGCATGAATCCCTGGGTTTGATTCCTCAGTACCACATAAACAGAAAGGGACAGAAGTTGTGCTGTGGCTCAAGTGATAGAGTGTTAGCCTTGAGTAAAAGAAGCTCAGGGGCAGTGTTCAGGCTGTAAGTGCAAGCTCCTGGACTGGCAAAAGAAAAGAAAAGAAAAGAAAGATTTATTTTCTATTCACAAAGAAAAATATGGCTGAACAAGAGAAATCTGCCCTTCTCGACTCTTTACTCCCTTAAATAGTTGTTTGTAGCTATGTTGGGCCACATGTTCCGTGGAAAAAGTTAGTGTCTTGCTTCATCATCATTTTTCCTATGTGCCTCCAAATTACCTGAAATAATAACCTGTGAACCATCTCTTACCTGTTGCCTATTTTGTTCAGAGAAGCTTTGGTTAGGTATTATTTATATGCTATACAGTTACCAATTGAAAGCATATAGCATTTAGTATAACTACAGAATTGTGTAGCAATCACCAGAATTTACTTTATAAAAATTAACTGCATTTTTAATTACCAAAAACAATCTCTAGATCTTCTCCAATGCTCTGCCTAGTCTGGGCAATTCATGTAAGCAAAATTGTTCATGCTGTTATTTTTATGACTACTATCAAGGTCCATTTGTGTTCTATCACATATCAGTATTTCCTTCCTTTCATTTACAAATTATATTCCATTTTCGTCCCTTCATCAGTAAGATATTTGCTTTCTTTCCATTATTAAGTAACTAGGACTAATACAGCTATGACCATCTATGTTCTAAATTATGCATGGACATAGCCTTTTCTTTCTCTGAATTGCTGAGCTGTGTAGAATTCTTTTCTGAAGATCACTGTGATTTCACATTTCTACCTGCAATATGTATAGGTTTCAAGTTGACCACATCTGTGTCATCATTAATTAGTCTTATCATTTATTGTAGACATGTAGATGTGTGTGATGTGTCATATCACTGATGTTTGAGTAGCATTTTCTGATTGGATACATTTTCATATGTTTATTTGCTATTTGTGTATTATCTTTGGATACCTGGGCAATTTTTATCTGGATTAAATTATTTCAGTACCTTGGGGATTGGTTCCAAAACTCCCTGAAAATGCCTAAATTTTTAAATGCCCACATCCCTTATGAAAATGGTGTAGTATTAGCACCAGATGTACATATATGTTCATATCTTCCTATATGTTTTAAATAATCTCTATATTATGTCCTCTACCTAAAACAATACAAATGCTATGTATACCTAAAACAATACAAATATTGTGCTGTATTATTTTTGGAATAATGACAAGGAAAACAGTATTTCCATGTTCAGAATAGTGGCAGTGTTTTTCTAAGATCTTCAACTTGTAGTTGATTAAATCTGTTAATGTGAAAGGATGACTGCATTTTACTATTATTGTTATAAGAGTTTACATAACTTAGATTCAAGTCAAATATATGATTTGCAAATATCTTCTTCCATTTATGGATTATTTACTTATTTTCCTGATGATATCCTTTGCCAAAAACCTTTTAGCAAAACTATTTTATTTGAAACTTTTGTTGTTATTGATGTTGATTGTGGGACTTGAACTCAGGGTCTGGATGTTGTCCTTGAGTTCTTTTTGCCATAGTGCCTTTTCCAGTTTTCGAGTGATTAAATGGAGATTAAAGGTCTTGGGGGATTTTTCTGCCTGGGCTGGCTTCAAACCACAATCCTCAGATCTCAGCCTCCTGAATAGCTAGGATTATGAGCACAAACCACCGTGCCTCACTATTTGAAACATTTTAACAAAAGGTTTTCACTTGATAAAATTTAATTTATCTATTTGTAATTGCTTATACATTTGGTATCATACTAAGAGCACTTTAATTCAAGACCTAAAAGTTCATAAATATAAAACTCAAATACTTAATAGTGTTAGCTGTCACATGAGCCATGATCCTTTTTTTTTGGTCTGTCTTGGGGCCTGAACTCTGGGCCTGGGCGCTGTCCCTCAACTCTTCAGCTCAAGCTGAAGCTCTACCACTTGAGCCACAGCGCCACTTCTGGCTTTTTCTACTTATATGGTGCTGAGGAATCAAACCTAGGGCCTCATGCATGCAAGGCAAGCACTTTACCACTGAACCACCTTCCCAGCCCCTCCATGATCCTTTTCTGATTCATTCTTGTTTACAGCATGAGGAAAGAGCCAACTTCATTTTTCTACATGTGGATATCCAGTTGTCTCAACATCATTTGTTGAAAATATTATCCTTTCTCCTGCTGTAGTTCTTTGGCATTCAGATAAAAAACTGCTACATATTTTACAAGTGCATTTTTTTCTGCTGTTATATAATATTGTCAGTGGCTTGTTGAATAGCTGAATAATTGTGACAGACACCATATGTCCTGAAAAGCCTAAAATATTTACTTTAAAGCAAGAAGAAAAAAATCAGATTACATTATCCATTAACTTTTCTGTGACCATTTACATGTTAGAGATTTATAATGAGAAGAGCCAAAGAAATCAATCCCTTGTGAAATTTCAAAGGAGATCAGCTTTCTAACTGTCTTCCAACCCCAAATGGTATATATCATGGACATGACCAGTCCATAGGGACTTGCCGATGCCATCTGTCTATTTGGGCCATGCTGAAAATTGGAAAGATTCTCACTACAGTGAAGGCTAACATTTTTATCCAAATGATATTACTTCAAATGAAGTTATGTTCTATTTCAGTCAACTGAGAAAACAACGTTAAAATGGTAAAAAGAGTTTTACTTAAATCTAGTACAACAGCACTAGTACAGCACAGCTCTATACCAGAGGGCATATGCTCTGTGAAGTGAAGGCAGAAATGCTAGACAGTTTCATCTTTGTACTGAGATAACAAGGTATACTATACAAACTAGGATAGCTTCACCAATAAATAATAGAATCTGTAACCAATGCAAATGCAGTCTAGCGGTTACAGAACATCATTGTGCAACATGTCACTATGCTTAGTTAAAATACTTGTACATCTTTGAAAAGTATTGCCAAAACGCACACTGTGACAATGGAACATTGGCAGGACAGAATCTTTCACTGCTGACAAACTGAAAAATGAAAGAATGAAACCCACATGGCTATTTTCCATTTTCTTATTTCCAAGGCTAACGCATAGAATGGTAAGAATTATTCTCTCCTTCTTCATACTCAGGGTGTGATGGAATTAGCCAAGCAAGTGAAGAGTTTGCCAGTGGTTAATTACAACCTCCTCAAGTATATTTGCAGGTAAGAACTTTCTTAAAGACAAGATTCAGCAAGACATGGCTGTATTTTGTTGAATAACAATTTATGCTGAACAATGAATAAACTCGTTGAACCACTCTGAGTTTGTGCAATCTCTGCTACACAGAGGTTTATGTAGTAGAGGTTTGACAGAGTGATCTCAAAGATGTCTTTGAGCACTAAAATTGCTTGATTTTGTTATTTGATCTTCCTTGCCTCCACATATTAAAGATATATTGCTTTGAATTCCCATCAAAGTCGTTTGCACCTTGTCAGCTGTGTTTATTGTTAAGAAAAGGAACACGTTTGTGTTGGCGTGAGAAACATATGTATAGGGTGTATCTATTACCAACTGCCCTGTGTCTCTAGGCAATGTCCTTACCCTTTCTGAATTTCAGGGTCCTAATAGACAAGATACTAGTGAAAACATCGTTCACAAAGCTGAGAAACAGACACTGTGGATTTTATTGTTAATGTCATTGTATAGGAATTCTAAAACTTTCCACGGTAACTTTTTCTTTTTTTCTTTTTTTCTTTTTTGGGTCTGGTTGTGGAGCCTGAACTCTGGGCCTGGGTGCTGCCCCTCAGCTCTTCAGCTCAAGGCTAGCTCTCTACCACTTGAGCCATAGCGCCACTTCTGGCTTTTTTCTTTTTTGCTTATGTGGTGCTAGGGAATTGAACCCACTGAGCAACCTTCCCAGCCCAACATGGTAACTTTTTCTAATGACTATTATGTTTAAAAGAAAATAAACTCTTAGGAATAGTTTCACTGGTGCAAATACTTGTGTAAGATTTCCATTCTAAGATTTTGGAATCAATTCAAGTTATGGTAGTGAGGACAGAAAGGTTACTGTCTCTTAAGAGAAGTAAAAAAGAAAAAAATTTGCTTAAGAACATTATTGAAGGATTTTAATCTGCCACAGAAGAAATACTTCTCTTGAAATATTGAAGCTGACTTTCTTTGTTAAAGTACTTCAAATAAGAAGTGATGGTTTGAATTTGTGCCTTTAGGTTTTGCATTAGGCTAACCATATGAAAATAGGCACCTTTATAAAGTCACAATTCTATAGATAAAAGTACAGACTCTAGAGTCACACTACCTGGGTTCAAATCTCAGCTCTGCCATCTAATCTACACCTTTGGCAAACCTGACACCGTATGGCTTTCCTTGATGAAATGGAGATAATAGTGGTATCAATGTCATACACCTATTTTGAGAATTCAATCAGCCTAGCACCATGATTGAATTATATGAGTGCAATGTAAACATGTTATTTTATTTTTTATTATTTGCTACTTTATCTCATTAATATATCAGTAAACCATGAAATAATAGGAATTTTTGTAGAAATGAAGAGCAGATGGGAAAATGCAAAAAGGCTGAAAGATTGCAACAGTATTTCCTTCTGTCTGGGGAAAGAGTAATTTCATGTCTTTTACTCTTTAGCACCTAATGAAATGAAATAATTGGAGCTCACAAATTTTCATATCAGTAGGGCTGATGTTTTTATTTCTACAATACTTGATCTATGTTTTAATAGACCATAAATTTGAATCTCATAAATCCCTCCACAAAGAGGGTGAGTCTTGCTTTTTATAATAAGATTTTAGAGCCAGATACCTTGGTTCATGCCTTTAATCCCAGTTACTTAACTGAGATTGGGAGGAGAATGGGTTGAAACTAGATAAGGCAAAAAGATCACAAGATGCCATCACTACATAGAAAGCTGTGTGTGCTCTTGTGTTCCTGTAATCCCAACTAATGCAGAAGTGTAATTAGGACTGTAGTCTAATCCAGCCTGAGTAGCAAATGTGTAACTCAAAAATAGACACAACAGAAAGGAATGGAGGCATAGCCCAAGCGTTTAACACATGGGAGGCCCCTAGTACCACCAAAAATTAAATACATTTTTAAAAACCATATTTCACCAGATAGTCTTTTATATGGTTCACTAAAATAATGGTAATATAATTGTAATACTTTGTTAAGGGATTGGAAACTATGTTAATCAGCTTTCTATTACTGTAACAAAATACTTGTAAAAATCAACATGAAGAGGGGAAAGGTACATTTTGGATGAGTTTCTGTGTCTGTTTCATAATTGAATGGCCCTGTCACGTTGAGTCTATGGTGAGGCCATGTATCACCTGGGTAAATGATTCACATCATTGGCTGTCATGAAAGATCCCAACCCAGAGCCTTCAAGAACACATCCTCATTGAATGAGTAAATAAATTCTCCCACAAGTCTCCACTTACTAAAGGTTCTATCACATTCTAATAGTTACACCAAACTTAACATATAAATCTTGGATGCACATGTATCTTAAGATATAGCCAAGTGAATGTACAATGTGACTCTCTAGTGCACTTTAGCATTATACAAACAGACATGTTCTTTTAATGACAGAGGAAGCCAGACCAAACCAGAATAGATATCTGATTTAGTCCTTAAAATTTGAATCTTCATAATTTAAAACATAATTTCTCTGCATTTAAAACAGAGCCATTGCAGTTCCCAAATGGTTTTACATGCAATGCTATTCAGTTTGTAGATTTCCCAATGATCTGTTTTCTTCCACTGAGAAGTTGAATCTCACTGTGTTCCACTCATATCGTTACAACCAATAGGTTCTTGGATGAAGTACAATCCTATTCAGGCATTAACAAAATGAGTGCACAGAACTTGGCAACTGTCTTCGGTCCTAATATCTTACGCCCCAAGGTGGAAGATCCACTGACCATCATGGAGGGTAAGTGAATGATGACCTTTCACCCTCATTGACCAAGGAAACAACTGTCTCTTAACTGGCTAGATTCTATTCTCATCTAAGCAAACATATGAATCCAGGGTTTTTCTCCATTTGTTGATCTTGCTTATTCTCTAAATCTTACCCTTTGAGAGTTAGTCATATTCTTTCAAGTAAACATAATATCATAAACTGATTCCCTAATCTCCACAGATGAACAAATGGAACACCTCTGCATGCTTTTGGTTGTTTTTATTTTTATTTTTTGTCAGTTGTGGGGCTTGAACTCTGGGCGTAGATGCTGTCCTGAGCTTTTAAGCTCAAGGCTAGCGCTCTACCGCAGTAACACTTCTGGTTTTCTGGTAGTTAATTGGAGCTAAGACTCTCATGGACTTTCCTACCCTGGCTAGCTTTGAACCGTGATCCTCAGATCTTAGCTTCCTGACTAGCTAGGATTACAGGGCTGAGCCACTGGTACCTGACTTCTGAATGTTTTTAATAATTATATTTTATGCTTTGAAGCTATTCATTTTTTTCTAATTAACACATCAGAAATTTCCTAGATTCTATAATTGGTGGTGGTAGCAGAATTTAATCTTAAACATAGCTTTTAAAATATTGCTTCATTCAATAAATATTCATTAAGCACCTTGTTCTACCATGAGCCTGGAAATGCTAAACATTAAATAAAGTTTTTCCTTTAGAGTTGGGAGAGTGGGAGAGACTGATCAAAGAGGGATGTTGCTCAAGATGCATTACACTCATATATTGTCATGTTGAGTTGAAGTCCCTTTGTACCACTTCTTAAAGAAAAATTTAAAAATAAATAAATGAAATTTAAAAATAATTAAATAAGACCAAGGTAGACTAAAAATAAACTTGTAGTCTAGTTGGAATCTTTAACATGTAAACATTTCATTATAGTATTATGTACATAATGTGTCAAAGGCTGTGGCAGTAAAAAGAAAAGTATGGTGGTCTTTCTCCTAGATGTCACGGAAAGCTTCACAAATGAAAATATGTTGAAATAATCACTCTACCAGGGCACGGATAAGAAGCATGTGTTCGCATATTTAGGCCACTCTTACAGAACATCAAAGACTGGTTGTCTTATAAATAACAGCAAGTTATTTCTCAGACTTCACCAGGCTGGAGGGACCAATGTCAAGACAGTTTGGGTGTCTTCTGAGGATCCAGTCTTTGTTTCAATGGCAGCTGTTTTCTCACTGTGTCCTCACATTATGGAAGTGAGGGAGCTCACAGAAGCACCCTTCAGAAAGGCATTAATCTAATAGGGCGCATTCCATCCTCATGATCTATTCTTCTCCCTACTTCTAAATAGCATTTGCATTCAGGGAAATATTATGTACATATAGTCTTTTTTTTGGGGGGGGGGTCCGGTCATGGGGCCTGAACTCTGGGCCTAGTGGCTGTCCCTCGGCTCTTCAGCTCAAGGCTAGCACTCTACCAATTGAGCCACAGCACCACTTCCGGCTTTTTTCTTTTTGCTTATGTGGTGCTGAGGAATCAAACCCAGGGCCTCATGCATGCAAGACAAGCGCTCTACCACTGAGCCACCTTCCTAGCCCATACATGTAGTCTTTAACAATAAGAGCAACCACAGTGTATCTGAATAAGACATTTGGCCAATTGTATCAGAGCATATGAAGAAGGTAAGTAAGAAAATATCAAAAGACCTCATATTATTCTTAAAGTCTTATTCACCATTCTGCAAGCAGGAATATTTGATCAGTATTAACTCAAAAGCGTTATAACAGTTTTTCTTTTAGAAATATAGAACTAGCAAATCTGGGGAGTAGCTGTGGGAAACCAAGTAGTAATCAATTTAACAGTAGACATTAGCTCTCTTATTTTGAGTTCCAAGATTAGATTTGTATTTATCTTCACACTGCTTAATCATTTAGCCCCATCTGATGTATAATGCTTTTTAATGCAAGTAAATTATTCTGAGGGCTAAAATAACTTGCCACACAATGATAATATGGTACACTATACTAGTTTGATTAAGAGTAAATTTAATCTACATAAAGCTTAGTATGCTAGCATGTGTTTTTGTTGTAATTTTAACAACCTTAAGTAAAAACTGCATGATAAATAAGACTTAAGTATTTATGAATTCATAGTATTTTTTTCTCATTTTGGTAGATGTTTAAAATGAATTGACTCCTCATTCTTGGTTTTTCTCTACTGTTTACAGTCAACTGCTATGAATTCTACTGCAAAAACATGGAAATTTTGCTTTAGTAATTATTTAAATATCTTATTTTTAAAATTTGCACTTTATAAAGGTCAAATCATTTCAAAAAGGTTTGATAATTTTGACTTCATTAAGTTGACTTTTTTTTTCAAAATATTCTTGCAATCAAAAGAAGAATGAGCCAGAAGTATGGAGAATGTATGTCTAAGGTGCATGTTTAACTAAATAAGTTTTTTCAAGTATATATAACATAAGGTCATCAGACCAATGAATAAATGGATAAGGTTTTTGAAGGAGACAAGCATTCAAGACAGCCAATTGCAAATGACACAGGGAATGTTGCTCAGAATTTATACTGAAAACACCAAGTTTACCTGATAGAAAAGAAAATGTTAGAGCCATTTAAAAACTGGACAAATTTTATGAAATATAGGCTGATGATCATTTCCAGCAGAACACCATTTAAATATTTACCCGAGAGGAAGAAAACATATGTTCACTCAGGATTTATAATCAAATGTTCACACCAAACTGGGGACAGTGGCTCATGCCTGTAGTATTACACAAAAGCAAAGATTGGGAGGATTGAGGTTAAAGGCCAGCCTAAGGGAGGGAAAAATTTGTTAAGCTCCATTTCAACCAATAAAAACCTGTGCAATAGTGGGCATGCATCATCCCAGCTACTGGGGTAATATAAATAGAAGAATCGTGGTCCAGGCAAAAAGCAAAATCTCATTCAAATAACAGTGAAAATAAAACATTCTAGAGACATGGCTTTAAGCTAATGCATAAATAAAAATTGGGGGCACATCTATACTGTGTAAAACAATGAAAACGATTAAACTACTGATAGATACAATAATATGGATAAAAACAAAAAAAATTAGGGTAAGGGAAAAATGCATAAGCACAAAAAATTACACACCTCACCACATAATTACATTTATATGAACTTCTAGAAAAGGCCAACTATAGTCAAAGAAATTACATTAATGGTTTCCATGCAGAGGGAGTAAAGATAAGAAGTTACCTACAAAGGGATGCTGACGTCTTCACTGGATGGCTTTCTAGACTATATATACTTACTAAAACTTATTAGATGTCTTCATTTTATATTCATAAGATGCTGTCCATTTATTATTAGATATAATGCATAGAATATTGCCACTACATAATAGCACACAGTTATCTTTAAAAGTAAATAAAATTGGTAGCCAATGCTCATAAAGAACAGTGCCTATGGTATTTTAATTCAACCTGTGCAAAAGGATATGAGCCAGGAGGGGATTTCGGGATTATGTAGCCCACAAGGGCCCCAGAATCTGCTCAGCCCCTGCATAATGGGCTAATGATTATAGCCTTGCTGACCTCGTTATTTGGGTTTAATGGTCTTCATTAACAGTTCAAGAGAGAAAATGACAGAGAGAAAGGAAGAAAAAGGGATAGTGCACATTTTGGTACACACACCTCATTATTCGTACCAACCTAGTCTGTCCTTAATGGCCATGAAATCCCTCTGCAGAGAACTGTTGCCATTTGTCACCCTAGAGACTGGATGAAAGCGAAGTTTCCTAACACAAGAGAGTTCTAAATCTTTTGGGCCTTGGCACCCACTCCATAATTGTGGCAGAAACACTTTGTCAGACTGTTCACAAACTCATCAAGAAGACTTTGGGAATGTCACTGTTCCATTACTTAAATGTCTCACCAAGTTAATAGCGGTGATGGAAAGCAGCTATGCTTAAATGTTAATTTTCCAGGATGGATGGGAAGAAGGATAATTTTTCCTAAATACTGGACAGAGTCATATATAATGGAAGCTTCAGGTCCTTAGAAGTGTCTGTTACATGAGCAAAGACTGCCTTTCATTGAGAACGGTGTGGATGACCATTTTAAGAGCTCTAAAATCTTTTCCTCAGATTCACTGTATTGAAAATATGATGAAAAATTAAGAGATTGCTAAAAGATAGATCTATAATGTAACTCATTTCATTCAGTCTTTTTTCCCCTCTAACTATGATAAGTGGAGATTGGAAGATGGTTGCTTTATTATTTAGTTCCTATTTAGAATAGCCTTGAGTCCACTTACTGGTGGGTATAGTTGAAAATGCTAACAGCTAGAGTATAGAAGGAAAATGCATCATTTGTAATAAAAATGCTGAGTATTAAACTTTACCTTGGTTACTTATCCATTTATGACCATGAGCAAACAGTTTAACCTTTCTGAACTTCAATTTTCTCATCTAAAAAAATGTTATGCACTATCTCAGAAACATTTAAGAAACTTAATTTGCAACTATACAAGTGAAATACTCCAGACTACCACAGCATCTTTCAAACTAACACACAGGCATTATCTGGAGATTTTGTGGAATTGCAAATTCTGACCTAAAGGTCTGAAGGCAGGTACTGAAATTGTGATGCTCCCAGAAGATGCCAGAGTTTCTGTATTATTACTGACATAACCAATATCGAAGCTTGGCAGAAACATAAACATCTCACGTCCCACTTGCATTGGAATTTTCCTTTTAATAAGCTCTCAGGTAATTTGTGTTATCATTCAAATTTGCACAACATTGGTTTAAGAGCAGCTCTGACACACTGAAGATACTCAACACAGAAAGCTCATGTGAGATATGGATGACTTCATATTTTTTCCTCTTTACTATTTGAATTTGAACTTCCTGCTGGAGTATGACTGTATGCTAAAACTTTACTCTAGGTCAGGCAGCAGATCTGACAGCCCCAGCAGCTGGGTACCCGCACTGTCAAGAATCCCTTTACCATGTTCTTCACCCAACCTGATATTTCAGGTGTGTTATACACAGACCATACACAGACAAGAAATTTCCTTGTGTTTATGTATCAGAGACTACCCTTAAGAGTTCTTGTCAACATGATATGAACACACAGCAAACTGATTCAGTTCAAGGTAAAGCAACACGAGGTGTGTGCAGTTCACCACTCTGTTTTACTGTGGATGCATGACTGAATCAATGCTAAGAGGCTCAGAGGTTTGGGAACACCCAACTTTGGAAACTAGTCTAGAACATGAATTGTCCCAGGTAGGTTTAGAAGACAGCAGCCCAGGTTCTACATGAAAGAGAAACCTCAGCTGCTTTTTTTTTTTTATTTATTTTATTTTATTTGTGAACATACTGTAAGGAGGGGTTACAATTACATGGGCAGGATAATGCGTACATTTCTTACCAAGCATTGCAGCCTCCTCCTTTGTTTACCCTTCACATCCCTTCCCAGATTCCCCCCTCCCTCGGCAGTCCCAATCCTTCTCCCCCCGCCCCCCACTGACATTGTAAAGCTCATTATGGACATGACAACTTGTACTTCTCATTGTTGCAACAGGTCCACCTGTATCCTTAAACGATTTGTTTTCCCCATCTCCTCCACAAGTTATACTGACATCAAATATAGTGAAAGCAGGGGTTATGCTGTGGGGGAGGGACATACAAAGCAACAAAGAAATAATCTTATAAATGCATTAGAAACACATGCATGAAAGAAAAAAACATTAAAATACATATCTAAGGGTTCATTTTCCTAACATCACATTATCTGACCTTTTCCGCTTGACTCATACATATACTAGATATTGCAAATAAGGGAAACCATGGGGCCTATGTTTCTTTGGGCCTGGCTTACTTCGCTTAATATAATTTTTCCCAAGTCTTTCCATTTCCTAACAAATGGGGCAATGTCATTCTTTCTGATGGAGGCATAGAATTCCATTGTGTATATATACCACATTTTCTTGATCCATTCATCTACTGAGGGGCATCTGGGTTGGTTCTAGATCTTAGCTATGGTAAATAATGCTCAGCTGATTTTTTTAATGACTCTTTTGAGGGTTTTTGTTTGTTAGTTTGTTAGTTGTGGGGCTTGGAGGCTATTCCTCAGCTATTCGGCTCAAAAGTAGTGTTCTACCACTTGAGCCACAGGGCCACTTCAGGTTTTCTGGTGGCTTATTGGAGATCAGAGTCTCACAGACTTTCCTGCCCGAGCTGGCTTTGAACTGTGATCCTCAGATCCTCAGGTCTGAGAAGGTAGGATTACAGGCGTGAGCCACCATTGCCCGGCTAAATGATTGTTCTAAATAAAAGATTAACTTTTTCTAAATTATTTTTATTGTCTCCAATTAAGACATCACTTTTTAAATCATGACTTTATAATGAGAAGTAAAAATATGAGGATCAACTAGAACCATAGCAGGTAGTATCTTCTGTTTAAGAGAATTCTTTTTTTTTCCTTAAAGGGCTTCTTTTTCATTACAATTTTCTGAACCTTTTATAGTGCTTATAGACCAGGCTTGGCAGTGACAAATCCTCTTGTGTATGGATGTGTGTACCTGAGAATTGCCTTCATTTCTCCTTTCTATTTGAAATTTTGAAACTTCCTTTGCATTGCTTTCTAGTTTCAGTGGCTTCCAATGAGCTATCAGCTGCTCATGTTAATGAGGGTCTCTTATATAGGAATTATTTCTCTTGATTCTGTCAAGTTTCTGTTTTGCTCATAAAACAATTTAACTACTATGTGTGAGATGTGGATCTTCAAGTGTACTGTGCCTGGAATTTGTTGAATTTTCTGGATATGTTTGTGTATGTTTAGGGGAAAAGAGTTGGGGAGAAGTTTTCAGTCATTGTTTCTTGAATTTTTTTTTCTATTCACTGCTCTTTCTGTTCTCCTTTGGGAACACCATACACACACACACACACACACACACACACACACACACACACACGCACGCACACACACACGCACACGTACGCACACACATCTTGGTTTTATACCTATGTTTCACAGGTTTCTGAAGTGCCATTCATTTTTCTTTATTCTTTTTGTTTGTTTTCAGACTCGAGAGTATCAATGTCATATCTGAAGTATCCTGATTCTATCTTCTGCCTATTTAAATATCCTCATGGGTGCCCTGTACTCTTTCATCTCCGTTTTTGTACTTTCAACTCTAGACCATATATTTGATTTTTATTTATGTTTTGTATTTTTTTCATTATATTTCCTATTTTGAAAGGCATTATTCTCACTTTCTTTTGTTTCCCCTCGATTGGTTTCCTTTAGTTATACGGGCACATTAAATAGCTGATTAGAAGCCTTTATCCATTCAATACCATGTCTGTAGTCCCTTAGAGCTAGTTCTTTTTTCCTCTTTCCTATGTGTGAGCCATCCTTTGTATGTCTCCTAATTTTTTGTTGAAAATTGTGCTTTATAATAATATGTGAGATCCCTGGATATCAAGTTCTCCTATCATTGGGGTTCACTATTGTTTTTATGTGTTGGTGTTTCATGTCTAATTCTGTAAAGTCTATCTTTTCGATTATGTATGACCATTTACATCTCTGCTTAGTTTGCTGATGATAGCTGATGATAAAATGGAAATTTTGTTAAATTCTTAGGGTCAATAAGTTTCTCTGAATCTACCAGAGGGTTCTATGTGCATGTTGAGCCAAGTCAAGATTCAGCCAGGCAGTTTGTAACTTATTATCAACCTTTAAGGTCAGTCCGAATTGAAAATGTAGGGACTACAGTATTTTCACAATAAAAAAAAAGAAAAGAAAATGTAGGGACTTTTCAGTTCTTTCCTGAACATACATATTTTCCAAGTGGACCTGAAGCCTTCTGGATATCATTTAAATCCCCCTGTGGAAATCCTGTTCTCCAGATTTTCTTTTTAAGCTTTTTGTTCACTTGGTTGTCTCAATTATGATCAATTGGCCAAGCAGCTGAGACATTCAAGAAAATATCTTTTGCTCTTGCCCCTAGAAAAATGGTTATTCAGTCATGGTAAGTTCCTCATCAGACCAAATAAAGACTAGCCTGTAAGTAAAGATTTCCAAGGAACTACAAGAGTGGTGAAATAATGACCGTTCTCTAGAATAGGACTTTGAAAGGGTCCCAGTGCTGATCTGCCTATTGCAGTAGCTGTCAACCTGCTAGTTTCAGTGCGTCTGTGGGCTGTTGCTTTTCAAGCTATAAAGATTGAGAGGGAAAGTTGGGTATACAGCAATTTTAAATACCACACTCTGTATGGTTCTTATTGAGAATCAGCCTATTTGCTTGGATAAATATTCTCCAGATTGCCTCAATCATTTCATGTCCAGAATTCTTCAAAGTTTTTATTTTGATATGAGATCTTTATTTGATACTATTTCAGTCCATGACACTTACAAAGTCCCAAGGCTCTAGAATGGCAAACAAAAGTTTATCATGCTTACCTAGAAAGACATGCCATGTAGCCACTATGATTATGTAGGGTCCTATTTGAAGATACAACTGTAGTAATAGTGATGCTTTGAGGCAGTTTGTTGGATAAAAGATCAAGAAAGTGTTCCCATAATCAAATGTCACACTTACAAGAAAGGTTGTGTAGTGATTAAAAGCCCAATCTATAAAACTAGATTAGTCTGACTTTAAGTCCAAAATCTGATCTTTAGTAACTTGATGGTTATAGCCAAGTTACATAGCCAGTAAAATATGGTGATAATAGCAGCATTTATTCATGTATTCCTTTTAAAACTCCAACTAAAACTACACAAATAAAATTCTTGGAACAATTCATGGCATAGAGCCAATGCTCAAGAAAATTTAGATATTACCATTAGAATTATTAGGAATAGAGATTAGCACTCTTCATAGTAATGGTGAATTTCTCCTAAATTCAAAAACAGAAATAATGAAAACCATCTCATTCACACTACTTTATTTCCTTTGTAATTCCAGGTACTGTGGTGGTGCAGCAATTGATGTCAGTGATGATTAGTAAACATGATTGCCTTTTTCCTAAGGATTCAGAGCTTCAAAGCAAGCCCCAGGATGGAATAAGTAACAATAATGAAATTCAAAAGAAAGCCACCATGAATCAGATGCAGAACAAGGAGAACAACAACACTAAGGATAGCCCAGGCAGGCAGTGCTCTTGGGACAAGTCTGAGTCTCCCCAGAGAGGCAGTGTGGATGAAGGATCCCCCACAGCTTTGTCAGGCAGCAAAACCAACAGCCCAAGGAGCAGCGTCCACAAGCTAGATGTCTCCAGGAGCCCCCCTCTCATGGTGAAAAAGAACCCAGCCTTCAATAAGGGTAGCGGAATCGTCACTAACGGGTCTTTCAGCAGCAGTAATGCAGAAGGTCTTGAGAAAGCACAAACCACTCCGAATGGGAGCTTACAGGCCAGAAGGAGCTCTTCGCTGAAAGGATCTGGTACCAAAATGGGCACCCACAGTGTCCAGAATGGGACAGTGCGCATGGGTATTTTGAACACTGACACGCTTGGAAACCCCGTGAATGGTCGTACCATGAGCTGGCTACCCAATGGCTATGTCACCTTGCGGGAGACTAAGCAGAAAGAGCAAGGTGGGGAGTCGGGCCAGCACCATAGGCTGTCCACGTACGATAACGTCCACCAGCAATTCTCCATGGTGAACCTGGATGACAAACAGAGTGTGGACAGCGCCACCTGGTCCACCTCCTCCTGTGAAATCTCCCTCCCTGAGAATTCCAACTCCTGTCGCTCCTCCACCACCACCTGCCCTGAGCAAGACTTTTATGGGGGGAATTTCGAGGATCCTGTGTTAGATGGGCCTCCCCAGGACGACCTTTCTCACCCCGGGGACTATGAAAACAAAAGTGACCATAGGAGTGTTGGAGGTCGAAGTAGTCGTGCCACCAGCAGCAGTGACAACAGTGAGACATTTGTGGCTAACAACACGAGCAATCACAGTGCATTGCACAGTTTAGTTTCCAGCCTGAAACAAGAAATGACCAAACAGAAGATAGAGTATGAGTCCAGGATAAAGAGGTGAGGAAAATCTTGGGCTCTTGGGCTCCTAACAGGCAGCAGCCTCCTACGGTGGGACAGAATCTCACAAAGGGTTACACATGCTTAGTCCAAGGTCAGAGAGACCTGAGTTGAAGTCCTCAGTTTACTGTTTGTGAGCTATGAGACTGGGCTTTTTAAAAATAGCATAATGTCTGTGAGCCTTGCTTCTTCCTAAGGGGATTTTTTTTTAAATTTAATACAAGATGTGTGTACCTTAAAAGTATATAAAATGTCATTGGATCTTGGCCTTGCCACAGGATAGGTACTCAAGATTATTGTCACATAGTACAGGTGGCTTACACCTGTAATCCTAGCTAATCTGGAGACTGAGATCTGAGGATCCTGGTTTGAAGCTAGTTTAGACAGAAAAGTCCATGAGACTCATATCTCCAATTAACCATCAAAAAGCCAGATGTGGATCTGTAACTCAAGGGATAGACTATAAACTTGAGAGAAAAAGATAAGTAAGGACACAAGGCCCTGAGTTCAAACTCCAGTACTGGCGTGCACACACACACACACACACACACACACACACACACACATTAATGTTATCATCAATTACTTTTCAATATGTGGGTCTTTACTAGAGAGCTGAAAGGAGAGGAGCTGTGAGATGAATGGAAAATAAGGAGTCTGCTCATTTTCAACAGCAAAGAAAGGACAAAGAGTAAAAAAAATTAAGGCCCTAAACATTCATTTAAGTTCACAGAGGAGACAGGTTTAAGGTGACATCAGGCCTTGTGGGGTCTTTTCTAGTTGTTGTTGTTTAAAAAAATAACTTTATTGTTGTTTTAGAGGTGATATACGGGAGGGGTGGTGTTAGCTTTATGTACAACAGGTGTTTAGTACATTTCCTTTCACATAGTGTTATCTGTTCCCTCATTCTTTCCCATTCCCTGCCTCCCCTTCCACCCATGAGTTGCATAGTTCACTGTCATCAGTGACCAATGCAGCCAGTGCGCTCCACTGCTGAGCTTTTTCTCCATTTTCCCTCTGATTCTGTATTCCCCCCACCCTCCCATAAATGTGCTCATGAATATTGTATATAAGGTAAAGAATATAGAATCATCAAAAAAGAAAAAAAAAAACAAATGGAGACAAAAGTCCTTTGTTTCCACTTTGTTTCAGAATGTGTAGTATTTTGCATACATATGAAGAGGTGCTTGAGTATTGCACCTTTGTGATGCTCTCCTAAGACTATTCTCTTTTGGTCTCACTGTATGTAGGTATATAGAATTCTATGTAATTTGTCCTATCTCACTAATTTGTCATATCCATCCACATATCATGAAGTTCCTTCCTGTACCTGTAAGTTCTCTCTCTCCTACTCTCTCTTACACTAGTTGCAGAGTTTTGGATCTGATGTTGAGATCTTTGATCCACTTTAATGTTGGTGCATGGTGTTAAGCAAAGATCCACTTTTAGTTTTCTGCATGTGGTTGCCCAGTTTTCCCAACACCAATTGTTGAAGATGCTATGATTTTTCCACTGCATGTCTTTGGCTCCTTTGTCAAATATTAGATGACTGTACACATGTGGTTTTATTTCTGGGTCTTCTAATCTGTTCCATTGATTTTCAGGTCTATTTTTGTGCCAATACCAAGCTGTTTTGTTATTATGGTTCTGCAGTAGAATTTGAAGTCTGTGTTGTGATACTACCTGCATTGCTTTTTTTTTGCCTCAGATTGCTTTGGCTATTTTAGGTCTTTTGTTGCTCCATATGAATTTTTGGATTTTTTCCCCTATATTAGTAAATAATGTCATTGAGATTTTGATGGGGCTTTCACTGAATTTGTATATCATTTTTGTCAGTGGCCATTTTCACAATATTGATTCTACCTATCCATGAACATGGAAGGTTTTGTTTTTTTATTTCCTGGTGTCCCCTTTGGTTTCTTTATATTTTAATAGTTTTCACTATAAAAGATCTTTTTTGTTATCTTTGGTTAGGTTAATTCCTAGGTATTTTATTTTTATAAAGCTATTGCAAATGAGGTTGTTTTCATGATTTGCCTTTCTATTTGTGCATTGTTGGCACACAGAAAAGCTACTGATTTTTGTGGGTTAATTTTGTATCCTGCTACTCTACCAAAGTGGTTGATCAGCTCTAGGAGTTTGGGGATGGAGTTTTTGGGGTCCATTAGTTTTAAGATTATGTCATCTTAGAACAGGGATAGTTAATTTCTTCCTTTCCTTTTATAATGTCCTTTTCTTGCCTTATCCTTCTGGCTGAGAATTCCAGAATTATATTGAGGAAGACTGGAGATAGTGGGCATCCTTGCCTTGTTCCTGATTTTAGTGGAAATAGTTTTAGTTTTTCCCCATTTAGTATGATGTTGGCTGTTGGTCTATCATACATAGTCTTTATTGTTTTAAGGAATGTTCCTTCTATTCCTAGTTTCTCCAAAGCTCTGTGTGTGTGTGTGTGTGTGTGTGTGTGTGTGTGTGTGTGTGTGTGTGTGTGTGTGTGTGTTTTAGGTCATGGGACTTAAACTCTAGGCTTATGTGTTGTCCCTAAACTCTTTAGCTCAAGGTGAACATTCCACCCCTTGAGCCACAGTGCCACTTCGGGTTTTTCTAGTGGTTTAGTGGAGATAAGAGTCTCATGGACTTTCCTGCCTAGTCTGGCTTTGAACTGTGATCCTCAGATCTCAACCTCGTGAGTAGCTAGGATTACAGTGTAAGCCACCGGCACCTGACTTCTCCAAAGCTTTTAAGTTGAGTGGATGTTGTATTTTGTTGAAGGCTTTTTCTGTATCTGTTGAGATGATCATGTGGTTCTTGTTCTTGGCTCTATTGATGTGGTGAACTACATTTGTTGATTTGCGTATGTTAAACCAGCCTTGCATCTGTGGGATGAACCCTATTTGCTCAGAATATATGATATTTTGTTGTTTCTGGATTCTGTTGGCTATTATTTTATGAAGAAACTTTGCATCTGTGTACATCAGAGAAATTGGTATGTAGTTCTCTTTTTTTGTTGGATCCTTATCTGATTTTTTGGATGAATGGGATATTGGCTTCATAATATGAGTTTGGAATTGTTCCTTCTGCCTCTATTTCAAAATTCAGTGGTGAATCTATCTAGGCCTGGACTCTTCCTTGTTGAAAGACTTCTTATCACTTCTTCTATCTCATTGCATATTATTTTTTGTTGTTCTTTTGGTTTATATCTTCTTGGTTTAGTTTAGGCAGTTTGTATGTTTTTTAAAATTCATCTGTTTCTAGGTTTTCCTTTTTTACTGAGGATAGGTTTTGAAAATAATACTTTATAACCATTTGGATTTCTTGGATTTGCTGTTTCCTGTGGCATCTCTGATCTTTTTTATTTTTCAGTTCAATGGCATTTATTCAGTACATTCCCAATATTTTTTATAAGTTTTTTATTGTGAAAATACTGTACAGAGGGGTTACAGTTACATGAGCTAGGTCATGAGTACATTTCTTATCAAGCATTGTTGCCTCCTCCTTTGTTTTTCCCCTACCATCCCTTACCTCCTACCTCCACAACTACATTCTCCCCCCCCCCAAAATTGTAAAATTCATTGTTATTTTCTTATTTGAATTTCCTCTCTTCTTTTTTTTCATTTATCTCCCAAGTGGTCTATCAATTTTATTAATTTTTTAATCAAAAAACAGCTTTTTGTTTCATTGATTTTATATATGGCTTTTGTGTTTCTTTTTCATTTATTTCTGCCCTAATCTTTGTTATTTTTGTCTAGTAGTTTTAGATTTGATTTTTTCTTGTTTTTCTAGAAATTCTAATTGTATTATGTTGTTAACTGTTTTCTTTATATATGCTCTTAGGCCTATGATTTTCCCCTCAACACTGCTTTTGCTGTATCCCAGAGGTTCTGTTGTGATGTTTTCATTTTCACTGAATTGTAAGAACTTTCTAGTTTTTTCCTTAATTTCTTCTTTTACCCAGGTGTTACTCAGTAGTGTGTTGCTCATTCTCCATGTATTTGACTGATTTCTGCAGGATGTTTGGTTGTTGAGGACTAGTTTGATTCCACTGTGGTCAGATAGGATGCAAGGGATTATGCCTCTTGCTTTTGCTTAGATTCTTTGTGTGAACTATGATATGATCTATTTTGGAGAATGTTCCATGGGCTGCTGAGAAGAATGTGAATTGGGTGGTTGTTGAGTGGAATTCTCTGTAGGTGACTAGTCCATTTGGGTTATGGTGTCATTTAGTTTAGAGGCTTCTTTGCTTATCTTTTGTTTGGTTGACCAGTCCTTTGGTGAGAGCCAGATACTGAAATCTCCCCCTCTCATTGTGTTTCCATCTATCATGTTCTTTAAGTCCTTAAGTTTAAAGTATTTAGGTGTGCCATTGTTTGGTGCATATTGACCACTGTGATTTCCTCTTCATGGGTCATTCCCTTTATTACTATGTAATGACCTTCCCTGTCTCTTCATACTGATTTTAATGAAAAGTCTATTTTATCAAATATCAATGTGGCTATTCCTGCCTTATTGCAGGGTGCATTTGAGTGGACAATCTTTTTCCATCCCTTCACCTGGAGTTAGTTTTCATCTTGGACTATGAGATGCGTCTCTTGCATATTACTTCTGTTTACATCCCCAGCTTTTAGATTCCCAGAGTTTGAGGCAAATAGCAAGTACATACAGTTGTGTTAATGCATTGATGTGTTATATTTTTGAATATTTAACTTTTGGCTCCTTCCATCACTTTTTGTTCCAAATGGCTTTAGAGAGTGAAGAGTTTAATAACTCTGGGCAGCAATCAGAGGAGTATCAGGTTTTTATATGGCGCTGTGACCAGGTGGTTAAAATAATCGTCTCAGCGCTTAAAGAATAAGAAGTCATTGCTTGTTTTCATTGTAGTTGGTTACAAAGAAGGGTAGAAAAAGAATAATTTTTTCTAAAATGGAAAAATAATTGAGATTTTGATTTTTTCAAATTGTCAGGAAAGTAGTTACATTTCAGATAGCTACACCTACATTAGCCTTTCAAATGCCAATAGTTGAATAAACTTGAATGAGCCCAGATTCAAAGGAGGAGAAACTGGAAAAGTCAGCCCTTACCAAATTTTATATCTTACAATAGACATTATAAAGATAATACTCTTTGTACTACATGTATATGTATGTGCGTATGTGAGTGTGTGCGTGTGTTTATAAGTCTTTGATCTTACTAGTTATGAAGAAAACTACATTCTTTTTTTAAAAAGTTTTCTTAAATTCTACAGTTACCCAAAAGAATTCAGCTATCAAATTATAAAGTTATAAAATCTTGACATCCTAACAAGATACTAACAGTTTGGAAAGCAGTGAGAATTGGTGTTGGCAGGGATGATCCCATGTTTATAAATGCTTAAATGCAGTGCTTTTTAATACTTGTAATACTTTTATTTCTATTGCTGATGTAAGCCAGCTACTGTTGGTACTTTTAGATAAGGTGAAACTCCAAGAAAGTCCATTCTTAGAAATGGACTAAACCTAGCAATGGCATTGTTGCTGTCAGTGTTTTTCCTTTGATACTTCAAACTTTATCAGATTTTCTCAGTTGTAATTTCATTAAACTAAGTTTACATTTAACATCCTGGAAGCTTTCCAAGGCTGGGAAGTTTCTGCCCTGTCTGTGCTGCATGACTGGAGTCTCTGTATCTCTCTGCTAAACTTCTTCCATTCTCTATTAACAACTAAACACAAGAAGTATCTGAGAGCCTTTTACCTAAAAATGCCTGTAAGTTGTGTTCACACAAAGTAACTTCACACTACAAAAGAAAACCTTTTCAGTTATTAGACTCTGCTTCAATATTTTGAAATGGTTCATTCTAGATTCTTAAGCATTGCAAACATTAGGAAAATATTAGTGTCCTCAAGGTTTTCAAGTAACATAAATCATTTTATCTCTTACCCACTCCCATCTTTTACAGCTTAGAACAGCGCAATTTGACTTTGGAAACAGAAATGATGAGCCTGCATGATGAACTGGATCAAGAAAGGAAAAAGTTCACGATGATAGAAATCAAAATGCGAAATGCTGAGCGAGCAAAAGAAGATGCTGAGAAAAGGAATGACATGCTCCAGAAGGAAATGGAGCAGTTTTTTTCCACATTTGGAGAGCTGACAGTGGAACCTAGGAGAACCGAGAGAGGAAACACGATATGGATCCAGTGAGCCTGCTTTCTCTGCCGTCCCTGACAGCTCTAAGAAGGCCTCTAGGGATTTTGATGGGCACCCACTTGGGACCAGGTGGCTGGTCACCTGGCTGTACAGAGTGCTAATTGGTCAAGGAGTATCATTTATAGACATTATCCATACCTGCAGTGTGTACCAAAGTTATTTCATCCCCCCCATAATGCTACTGTCAAGTGTTACAACTGGATATGTGTATATAGAGTAGTTTTGAAAAAGTAAACTAAAAGTAAGAAGCATATCTCAAGAATTATTTTATTGCAAGTCTTGTATTTAAATGTTAAATCGATATGTTGTTGCAATTCAGCTTGCTTTCAAGCTTCACCCTTGAACTTAACATAAGCTATTTTTGGCATTGTGTTATCATCCGCTTATTTTATAGATCAATATTTTTTATTTCCCCTTTTTGCTGAGGAAATGAAGAGAAGAAAAAAATATAAAGATATATATATATAAAGATATATATAAATGAGCTATTAAAATCAAAAGAATACTCTGTGGCTGTGCTGTTTGTGCCAATAGACCTTACGATGACCAAAAAGAGAAATGTAAATGTTTTATAAAATAGAGCAGAATCACCAGTATCTGTGTTAACTTACTAGTCTTTAAGTTCTTCCTTGGCCACTTCTCAGTTTTGCTTTGTGAGAGGATTTGATATAGGAATGTTGAGTCTGTGTAAGAAAGTTTTCTTCTCAAGCCTATGTCTACCTTGCCAAATCTCCAGATGGGTTGTCTCCCCAGCAGGATGCATCATATATGGGTGAAAGTGATAAAGGGGATTGAACCAGCTATGCCTTGAATTTCTCTGTCCTTGTGAATGACTCTCTGTGTTGACTGTTACTGGTGGTATTCTTTCCACTGTGTGTAAGTTGGCAAAGAATACTTGCTAAATGGCCACCTCTTTGCTCATTGAGACCGCTCATTGAGACCACCCCAACAATGGGACTTTAAATGTCAGCAGTGCAATGGTACATTGTGCCCCTCTAGTGAATCCCATATACTATGTCACATAATGTGGCAGCTGTAATCTTGGATTTTCTCTGCACCACAGCTAGCAAAGTTAAATTGCAGCCAGATGATGGAAAGGGACCAAGAAGAATAGGAGCAAAGCTTGGAATAAGCAACCCATTTTACTTCTAATTTTGATATCATCATGTTCTGTGTTGCAAACATACTCAGAAGAATTTCAGACATGAATGTGTGAAGATATTTGACAAATATGTGAACGTTAATAACATTAGCTTACTAGAAAGTCTAGGTTCTCTAGAGCTATTGTTTCAGGGAAGCTACTTTTTACATGTTAATAAGGCAGTAATTTTGAGGAGCCAGGCCAGAAATTCTCACACTAGAACAAAGTCACAAGAGACAGAATCAGAAATTGACTACTTGTGTTTATGGGATCTGTGCTTTTGAAGATGGTATGTTTGTGCTTGTTTACTTATTTTCAAGGCTAGTCTTTATGGCACTCACTGATCACTGTCATGTTTTTGATTTTTTCTCCCTGAAGAGCAATCTTATGTGATCTCTTGCTTTCAACTAGTAGCAATAACTTGTTTATTTACAGTTCCTTTTTATCTTTCTTTTCAGTTACATAACCAGATACTTGTAGCTGAATATTCTAAAGAAAACTTAAACTTAAAATGGGTTGAGTCAATCTTAATAACTCTTCCTCTTTATTTTTATATCTTTTTCCTATTTTGACCTTAGCTAATAATTTTTTAAAAACCTTCTAACTCATCTAATAAGCTATATGATGAATAACTCAGTTCAGATACCTGTGCTCACATTCTCTATAGTTTGCCAGCTATTATTGAACCTTCCACACACATTATTTCCCTATGTGAACTTGTAATAATAAAAATTTTACACACAGTCTTTCTCATGAGATGGCTAGGATTCGGCTGGGCCTAGCTAGTATACAGGAAGGACTCTAAAAATGTCAACGTGTTCTTACTTTTCTGTTTTCTCACTCAGTAGGTTGATCTATTCCATCCATCTTCACATTTTTAATCTGCTTTTTTTCATCAGTTTTTTTCCTAATTAAAAAATTCTACTGAGAAACTTCTGTGCTGGTATCTTCTCTCCGTTTTTCACTGTCTATTGGCTTCTTTTCCTAAATCACGCATCTGGCTATGTGTTGTCCCAGGACAGTCTTGCACTTTGCGTAAAAGGCTCCGACCTCTGCTTTCACTCTTATCTCCTGCCACTTCCTATGATACCTGCTTGGCTTCTTTTCTGCTTAGTTCTATCTGGAATGTTCTATCTCTTTTATTTAAAAAGATTTTATTAAATTTTTTTATTTAAAAAATAAAAAATGTTTTATCTTTGTTAGTTTATATTCATTGTACAAATGAGTTTCTTTGTGGTATTTCCATACATGAAGGTGCTTTTGATCAAATTCACTGCCTCTTTTCTGTTTTGCTGTTGTTGGGGGTTTTTTGTTGTTGTTGTTCTGGTACTTGGGTTTGAACTCAGGGCTTAGAACTGTTCCTGAGTTTTGTGGCTCAAGGCTAGTGTACTTGAGCTACAGCTGCACTTTGGGCAATTTTTCAATGCTTAATTGGAGATAAGAATCTCATGAATTTTCCTACCTGTGCTGACTTTGAACTATAATCCTCAGATTCAGCCTCCTGAGTAGCTAGGATTACAGATGTGTGTCACCAGTACCCAAGAATCCCCATTATTACTCTTTCTTATGCCAGTCCCCACTTAGGAGACAGTAAAGGGGACAGAAAATATAACCCAAGTGCTTTATATACAGATTCATGAAACCTGGCGCAGTACTATTAGTGCTTCATGAAGTTTCTATCTCAAAGCCAAGGAAGTTGCTTTTGGTGTATGTGCCAGTACTGGGCCTGGGTACTGTCACTTAGCTTTTACACTCAAGGGTGATATACTACCACTGGAGCCACAGCTCCACTTCTAGCTTTTCTAACTAGAGATAAGAGTCTCATGGAGTTGCTCGAGCTGGCTTCAAACTGGGATCATCAGATTTCAGCCTCCTGTGTAACTCTGATTACAGGCATGAGCCACTGGTGCCCAGCCAAATTGACTTTTGCATTCCCAATCTGCATGCACCTCTTTCCTACATCTTCTTATTTCCTTACCAAATAAGAAACAGTTGGGAAGGAAGCATGGTAGAATGAAAATAGCAGGAAAACTAAGAGCCAGGCTGACCTGACTTAAACAAGGACAAGTCACAACCCTGAACCTGTTTTCTCACATGGGAAAACTTGAAATAACTCCTAAAATGCAGAGATGCTGTTCTCCTTAACCAAAGAATGTACTAACCATCTCATGCCTGCCACTTAGCTCTATCGATAGCTCTTTTGACAACTGGAGTTTCATAAGGAACAAGAATTGTATCTTCTTGACCTTAAATCCTTCCCTCATCCACATTTTACAACAAATACAGAGTTAATCATCTTCCTGCTATTCAAAGACTGATTTAGGAGGGATACTGCTAATTTCAGTTATTGATGTCAAAAACAATGACCTCTAGCTAATTGATTCCATATATATTATTAGTTCAACTAACAGCTCAGAAATGATCAACCATAATTTGACATTGGAAATGAGCAAGAATACATAGTAGGAACTTTTAAAAATCCATTTGTTACAACTTGTTTGCACTTTTTAGAAGATATGTAGGTAATTAAAGTGACTCTCAATCACAAGTTTAAGAGCTTATAATTGGATTTGCTTCCATAAACTGGTTTTAATTAGCTTCTGTTGTCCAACTATATGGTTAGCCTTGCTTTGGAGACCATTCAAAACAGAATTGTCTATGACATCAGGGCAATGGGAACACAGATTTTTGTATATGTATTATGAAATTCCTAAAAACTTCAACTAGAATTTAAAATAAACTCACTTGTTTACCCACTATATTGGGCCTCATTCAAAAAAGTAGAGCATTCACAGGAAAGTGTGTATTACAGATACATTTATGTGTTTTTGGAATTTAGGAGTATCACCTGCTCCAATGCTCAGTGCTCCCTATTGAGCTGAGTTGCATCTTGACTCAAGCAGCTCCACACATGTGAGTTCTAACCCCAGCTCTGCACTTCATAGCAGTCTGAAAATTAGGAAAGCTAGGTACTTTTTGTAAGTGAAATGGCTGCACATCCTTAGTGCCTTAGAAATACTAGCCACCATCCCTCAGAGCATCCCTCATATAAAAGATGTTCCAGCTTTATGCCTGGGTTCTGGCCTCAGAAGTGGAGCTTTCAGCGAGCGTATCGAGCTTACCAGCAGAGGGCGTAATGGTATTCTGCCCCCAGGACTAATTTTACCTGTGCCCAAATAATATCTGTTGTGGGATGATTACATCCCATAATCTGAGGATGATATGGAAGGAATTTACAGTTGTCACTGGGTATTAAAGGTACCAGTGGGCCAGATGTGCTTGGATAGCTAGCCTGTTATAAGTACATTTGATGATGTGTTATGACAGTAAGTACACGATCCCAAATGTGGAACATGGAAAGACATTGCTGTGGATCCTGAAAGATAAATGGAAAGACATAGGACAGAGGGCTATAAGGACTTTCCTATCCTAAGGAACAGCGGGTAAAAAGGTATCTTCATATACATGTTGTCAAGGAGCCTTCCAACGAAATAAAAATGACCTTTCAACTCTGTGATCAACATGACACTGTACATAACACCTGATCAGCACACCACAAGATCCATAAAGTCTTTTTGTTTGTTTGTTTTGTGCAGATCCTCAGGGCCTCGGCCCTGTCCCTTAGCTGCTGGACTCAAGGATAGCTCTCTACCACTTGAGCCATTTCCAACTTTTCTGGTATTTAATTAGAGATGAGTCTCTAATTTAAAAAGTCTCTCAGACTTTCCTGCTCAGGCTGGCTTTGAACCACAATCCTCAGATCTCAGCCTCCTGAGTTCAGTTGACAGGTTCCAGGAACAATGGCCTTGTTGCTGTTATTCAAAGAAAGCCCAGCTGAGCTGGAAACATTTTGCCTTGTTTGCATTCACAAAGTACAATAAAGCAGGTTGGAAGTGCAGCACTCAAAGGTCTGTTTCATTACTCTCTTTATGTTCCCCTTAATTTCACAAGAGAGGAATGAGCTGAAAGTTAAAATTTCCCAGTTTAAGAACTTCTTGTGGTGAAGTGACTTGGAAAACATGTGGTTCCCAATGCAGCCCAAACCTGCAGGACTGACTGTATATTTTGACATAGGAAATGACAGTAAATGGAAGGGGATGTTTTTGTAAAGAACCATTTGTGTTTCAGGTTCAAAACTGAATTTTTTTTTTCAGTCATGGAGCTTGAACTCTGGGCCTGAGACTGTCCCTGAGCTCTTTTGCTCAAGGCTAGTGCTCTACCATTTTGAGCTACAGCTCCACTTCCAGTTTTTAAATAGTTAACTGGAGGTAAGAGTCCCACGGAAACTTTTCTGCCTGGGCTGGCTTTGAACTACAATCCTCAAATATCAGCCTTTCAAGTCGCTAGGATTACAGGTGTGAACCACCAGCACCCTGGGGTACTCCTATTTTTAAAATGATGTATAGTTGCTACCTGTAAGGTCCCTCAAGGGCTAAGCCCAGATAATACCAGCCCATGCATCAAAGGTCACCTTTATTAAGCGTAATGTCTGGATAATACTGAATTGTTTGAATGGGGAGGCAAATGAACACCACTGTCATTGAGTGAAATAGCATCTTAACTGGTGGGAAAGACCTGAGCATCCACCACCATTTTTAAAGAAAATCATCAATTGGAGATAAGACTCTCATGGACTTCTGCTTGCAAAAACATCGTGTACATCCCAAGCCTCTTTTCCCTGGCTCCTTGAGATTCAATTGATGACTTTTGTATCACATCAAAATAATCTCTACAGGTGTCATGATTTGAATAGGATTTATCCTAGTTCTACCTCTCCTCAAAGAAAAAGCATTTGATTGGCATTGGCAGTGTTGAAAGGTGGGACCTTAAATAACCTTTACCTTTACAAATTACTCCGTTTGAGGTATTCTGGTACAGCAACAAAAAGGGACATGAGTTCATGTTCTCCTTCCTGATGTCCTGCTGCCAATGTAGTCCAAGCTCCCGAGTCATTTTTCTTCTTCATGCTTACTTCTGTATTGCCCATGGTAGTCTCTCATTTGCTCCGGATGTTGCTTCCCTCTTAATTCTTCCAAGCTTTCCACTATTCCTCTACATCTCACAACATCTGTTGCTTTCCCTGACCATGGTGCCACCTGAAGACACCCTTCTGCACCTGTGGGGTGCAGGCTCCAGGACAGGAAGTGCCCAAGCAGAAGGCACTTCCAGACAGAGTAGTCACTGAGTGTTTTTAGGACATAACTAACTGGTTTCCACCACCATTTTTTTTTTAAATTTAATTTAATTTTATTTGTGAACATACTGTACAGAGGAGTTACAGTTACATGGGCAGGATAATGCGTACATTTCTTACCAAGCATTGCAGCCTCCTCCTTTGTTTACCCTTCACATCCCTTCCCAGCCTCCCCCCTCCCCCCCAATCCCAATCCTTCTCCTTCCCCCCCTTCCCCCCCCCCACCAACGTTGTGAAGTTCGTTTTGGACCTGACAACTTGTACTTCTCATTGTTGCTACAGGTCCACCTGTATCCTTAAACAACTGGTTTTTCCCCATCTCCTCCACAAGTTATACTGACATCAAATATAGTGAAAGCAGGGGTTATACTGTGGGGGAGGGACATACAAAGCAACAAAGAGATAATTTTATAAATGTGTTAGAAACACATGCATGAAAGAAAAAAAACATTAAAATACACATCTAAGGGTTCATTTTCCGGACATCACATTATCTGACCTTTTCCGCTTGACTCATACATATACTAGATATTACAAATAAGGGAAACCATGGGACCTACGATTCTTTGGGCCTGGCTTACTTCACTTAATATAATTTTTTCCAAGTTTTTCCATTTCCTAACAAATGGGGCAATGTCATTCTTTCTGATGGAGGCATAGAATTCCATTGTGTATATATACCACATTTTCTTGATCCATTCATCTACTGAGGGGCATCTGGGTTGGTTCCATATCTTAGCTATGGTAAATAATGCTGCAATAAACATAGTTGTGCTGGTAGCTTTAGTGTGGTCTTGTTTGTAAACATTAGGGTAAATGCCCAAAAGTGGGATTGCTGGGTCATAGGGGAGCTCTATGTGAAGTCTTTTGAGGAACCTCCATACTGCTTTCCAAAGTGGTTGAACAAGTTTACATTCCTACCAACAATGAAGTAAGGTTCCTTTCTGTCCACATCCCCTCCAGCATCTGTTGTTGTTAGAGTTCTTGATTTTTGCCGTTCTAACTGGAGTGAGGTGATATCTCA